CCAGCAACTTTGTTTTTGTTCCTTTTAAATATCTGGCAGTTTTCAAATGGATAAAAAAAACTCCCTTTAAATGTTCCCAAAGTGAGAAGTTACTTTAAAAGACCAGAAAAAAAGTTTAAATTTCTACAGGATCCCTTCCTTAAGGCTCGCAACATTGGGAGTGGACTGTGACTTTAAATCTCTTACAGCTCTCTGTCTCTCTCTCTCTCACACCCTGTGCACACAGGCGTCTCCCTGGCGTTTTGTTTTTCCTTTCCCCTTTCGCGGAAGCTCAACTTTTAGGTGTGTTTTGTTTTCTCGACAGCTGCTTCCCATTCCTCTCTGTCCCTATTGCTCTCCAAACTTCTCCGTGCCAGCCTCCGCTCGAAATCGGTTGTTGCTTCGCACCCACTTTGGCACAGCTGAGTGGCAATAGCCCGGGCTAACTTAGGGAAATCTGGCGAGGAATTTTGCTTGTCCTTCCGGCCGAGCCGCCTTAAGGGGACCCTCCAATCTCCTGGAATTAAGTCGTGGGTAAGTTACTGAGAAAGTGGGGCTTGCAAGTAATGGGTCACTGACAAAGGGTTGACAAACAGTAACTGAACTTTGTCCGTGTCTGTCTGTTCAGTCCCAGCAAGATTATGAGGGAGTTTTAACTCTATTGTTCAACAACATCAATTTCCACTTAAACAGCAGCCGTTTCGCCCACTAAAGTGTGTTCCACCTTCCTTTCCGGAGCTGTATGAGACGCTGTACGAAAATGAAATCTCTTGTGAGAATTGACCAACCAAAAGTTTGTTTGAAGAGATTATTATTTAAAGGAGCATTTTGGAGGAGAAAGAAGAAGCAGTTTTAGGAGGGAATTCCAGAGTGGGGGCCCAGACAGTCACAAATAGTGGAGACGAAGAGAATCGGGGGATGGTCAAGGAGCTGGAGTAGTAGAAGGTGACAGACATAGGAAAGGGGTGCAGGGGCTGGAGGAGGCGACGGAGGCGGGGAAGGGGGTGAGGCAGTGAAGAAATTTAAAATGAAACTGGAGTGAACTCTGACAAAGACAGTGAGAATGAAGGAATCTGCTGTTAATTACGCAGGGGTTACAAGCAGTCGAGGTTTGCTGGATGTCTGGGACAAGGTGAGCATGTAGGGGAATGGGGCAGCCATAGGAGGCTTCTTGTCTGTAAGCTTTGTATTTTCGTTGCAGCCGGGTAGAGGGGGAGGGTTGAGGTTTATGATACTAAACTTATCCGTCTCACTCATCTTCCTTTCTCCCGCCTCGCCTTGACTGAGAGTCTGGATGACCTCCAGTTCTCTCTGCTCGCCAATGCCTCAGCTTGTCGAGGGTGGATGTAGCTGGGCTATTCAATTCAGGAAAGCATCGCCACTCCTGCTGATCTGGGCCGGTTTCTCAAATTGGGGCTGAATAGTAGCAGCAATCTTAAAGGCTGATGGCCTCTGAGGTCTCTCGCGGAGCATTGGGGTGGGGTGTAGACATGTTTGCTCTTGTGTAGCTCACTCTGTTCATTCCAGCCACACCCGACCAGCTCCAAGGTGTTAGCAGTGAGACAGCCGACAAGCGAGATCTATGGGGAATAGGAAAGGCCCTTTCCGTCTCAGAAGACGTCAGAACGTGTGTTAGGCAGTTCCACTTAAATACAGTGGGATCCTCCAGTTTTAATTCCTGTGAGAGCCCAGAATCCACCACGCGTTCTCTTATGGGCAATTAAAACACCAAAGTGGTCATTGGCACTGTAACCTCTGTCCGTGGATCTCTCATGACAGCCTCAGGCCAACTGCAGATGAAGTCCTGAAGTCAACACCATGACTCTCACCGTGGCCTATTTACTTTGGGTGGGAAAGTAGCTGGCGTAGAACCCGTTAACCTCCCGTTTTTCGCTGCCACTCTCACCCCTGAAAACGCCCGCAGCAATAGAACAAAGAACAGTACAGCACCGGAACAGGCCCTTCAACCCACCAAGATTGCACTGATTTTCCCATCCCTTTGCCCACTTGGCTCCTCTAGGAAGGGGTCAGTTCACCTTTCGTCCACTCCCTCACGGGCTCTGGGTCAAAATCCTGGAGCAACCCCCCCCCCCCCCCCACCTCGAATGGCATGTGTTCCCCCACCAGGTGGATTGGAACAGCTCAAGACCGTCAGCTTCTTCTGGGGCAGTTAGGCACGGTCTGTAAATGCTTCCAACTGTAATCCCCATGTTCTGTGATGAATGAAAAATAATGACGGGCTTTGATCAGGTAAATGAGGTCCAACTGCTTTCCAGAGTGGAGGCGGGGTGGGGGGGGGGGGGGGGAGGGGGGGGGGGAAAGAAGATTTTAATCAAGAAGGGAAGCAAGAGTAACTTTAATTTCCGAAGTAATTTCTTGCGATCTGGAATAAACCTCCTCACTCTAACTCTAACCGTAACTCTATCGCAGGTAGGAGCAGATTCAAGAGGAACTTTCAAAAGTTGGCATTTGGAGAAATAATTGGAAAGGGAGAATTTGCAGAGTTATGGGGGGGGAGAAAAGAACTAGAATAGGCATGATGGGCTGAATGGTCTTCTCTTGTGCTGTCCAATTGATGCCAGTGCTTGGAAGTACACAATGTGTTGTCAACAAGTCTTCAGGGTGGTATCTGCAGAGCGACCTCGGATCTTTTACCTTAGAGGAATTTCAGGTTGAAGTGAATTGCAGACATGATTGTGTGTCGGAGTTTCACTTTTGTTGCCTGATTCTGCAAGTTAATACTTGTACATGAATCTGAAATACTGTTCAAAAAAACACTGTTAGAACAAAGGTCTGAGTGTGCTTCATACTGAGTGAGACGGAGGGAGGGAGACTGGAAGAGTTGATATTGCTCACAACAGATCAGAGAGTTGATGTCTGAGTGGTATGATCATTCAATCATTCATCTAGAAACACAGGACATGTCCTGGGACCTGTTCAAATTTCACCATAGCAGACGTTCGAAATCTAATGGTCAATTGTTTTTTTGAAAAAATCTGTTCATTCATGCCCTTACAGTCCTATCTGCCAGCCTTACCGGATTGGTCCACACATGACTCCAGTCACAAAGCAATGGGGTTGATTGTTGATTGCCCTCTGAAAAGGTTGAGCAAGCTAATCAGTTACATCGAGGACAACTGTGACGGGTGATAGATGCAATGTATGAATGACAAAAACAACATTGTATTTGATGGAAGGAAGTGGAGAGTCGGCGCTGAGGGAGCGCCGCCTTGTCGGAGGGTCAGCGCTGAGGGAGCACCCTGTTGGAGTTTCTCGCTGTCATGTGTTGCAGTGTTGATAGTAATGCATTTTGGATATGATATAAACCCAAGACCCTAATATTAGCAGATGCCTTGGTAGCACTTCAGAGCTGGGGAGTCTCACAGAGGATCCTGTCCTCCATAAATCCACTTCAAGCAGAATCAGTGCAAGAATGACAATCCAATCAACACATCAATGTCATTGCTGGAATTTTGCTTTAGTTTCTTCCTGACATCATTTCCTGTCTCTTTGTCAGAAAAGAGGGAGGGGAAGGGGGTTTTGAAATAAATAGGGAGAGAGTGGGAGGCGGATAGAAGAGGGATAGAGGAGAGGATAGGTGGAGAGGAAACAAACAGGTCGAAGAGGCGGGGATGGAGCCAGTAAAGGTGAGTGTAGGTAGGGAGTTAGGAAGGGGATAGGTCAGTCCAGGGAGGACGGACAGGTCAAGGGGGTGGGATGAGGTTGGTCGGTAGGAGATGGAGGTGCGGCTTGAGGTGGGAGGAGGGGATAGTTGGGAGGAAGAACAGGTTAGGGAGGCAGGGACGAGCTGGACTGGTTTTGGGATGCGGTAGGGGGAGGGGAGATTTTGAAACTTGTGAAATCCACATTGATACCATTGGGCTGCAGGGTTCCCAAGCGGAATATGAGTTGCTGTTCCTGCAACCTTCGGGTGGCATCGTTGTGG